AAAGCTCTGGTACTTGCATGTCTGTTCTGTAAGGTATTTAATGCTAAGAACAGCACTTGTATTTCATGACCAGATTAACTTCTCCTGAAGTCTTAGAACTCCTTCCCCTTTTACCGTAGCTCATGACCTGGTGTGGTGGTTTCTGTTGCTGATGCTACACACCTGCCATGCGTATCATTTCAGAAGACTCTCTGATGTTGGCTCTTCTTTACTCTTAAAAATCGTGTTGCATCATTTCAGATAGAGGGAAAATAAATACAGATATGTAAGTGATTTTTCCAAGAGTTAAAAATGTTGCCTTGTAATTTTATTTCCTTAACAACAGTATGGAACTTCCAGCCTACCTGCTCTTCTGGTGGAGTCACGGAGAATTCTAGGAGCAGAAAGACACTTTCAGAATATTAATATGAAACTGGAAGAGGCTCTGGCTGTACAAAGAGGGAAGTTATCAAAGAAACATTAAGCGTTTTTTAGTAGACTTTTTGACATTCATTAGGAACAATCATTAGAATGGTCAGTGCTTAAAGCTAGTTTAATCATTGTTGCTGTATTTTGCTTCAATGTTTAAAAGAAGTCAGTGACTTAATCAGAGATTGTATCTTTCTATTGTCAAATAGTCTGTGTGAGAACTTACCTCAGAATGTCAGTGAAATTAATGAAATAGCAATTCCAGTTAAAGTAGTAAAACTTTTCTGTGGTCTGTTAACAACGTTGGTTTTTAATCTTGGGTTATTAAAGTAATGTGATCTTGAAAGCAATATATACTTTTAAAAGAGAACACATAGACATTAGTTGAACTATTGATAGACAAATCTTTTTATTAAATTTGTATTTGAAATAAGTAATCTCCTCTCATTTCTGGAAGTAAAGAAATCTATTTTACTTGGCTTATCCGTGAAGCTTGGACATACAGCTAACAAAATAGAAACCACACAGCAGTGAGTGTTAAAAGTGCTAAACTTGGAGCAGCATTCACGATGGGTTTTCAGTCCAGTACTCTTCAACCCCCGTGTAACCTTCCATGATCTCCTCATGCTTGCTGAAGATCATCCAGTTGTGAAGATACTTACGCAGTTCTTTGTCTTACAGTTCTGGAAGAGCATTTTTGAACTACATCGCAGTATCTTTCACAGAAGGCATGCGATACACGCATTGTGTTAAAGCAGTTTCATAGCTAGCGGTTTGTTTGCTAGCCAAGTCTGTGGTTAGCTGCCTTCTTTATTGCAAGTGTCCTGTTTCCTTAAAGCTTCCAAAAGAACTTCATCAGGAATTTCTTCCACGGCATAATTCAGACTATCATTTGCAGCTTCAGCTAGTTCCACATCTTCAGTAGCTTCTAGGAAACAGGCATCATCACTTGCATTGCCCCACTCACTGTCTGACAACAGGAGGTCTTGAGACAAGCTTTCTTCTAGAGTTACTGAGCTTTTTGACAAGTCAGACACATTAGAATGTGGTTTTACTTTTTCTTCTCTGTTCCCCCTTTCATCCATTAGTGTATACTCTTCTTCCTTTTAGAAACAAGAATACTATTTATTCCATATGAAAATGGTCTTCCTACCTTTAACTGCTCTGATCTGAAAGTTTGAAACTTACTGTCACATAAAATGGATACTGTAGAAAACTGGCCAACAAGACAGATTTTCCAGCACGTTAATTTATAGCCACATTACCCTGTGGAAGCCTATTTTAATAGGAATAGAAATTTGCTGGTTTTCTAGCAAGCTACAAATAGTCTGTTGTATACAGCTGCTTAAAATAATACAAGGTTAAAACTAATTTTAGTGTCTATTTAAAGATACCATCAGGTCTGAAAATGCATTTAAATTACACCTTCTGTGAAGTAACACTAATAGCTATTGATGATCTGATTAAGTAGAGCTTAATGTGCCATTCTGCAGTATGAAATTTAAACGTGTAAAGTGTAAATTTAAAAAGTTGTGAAGAGGCCAACTCTTACTGCCTACTCAGTGGAAAAACTATTGTGTTCAGAGTTAGAATCTAGGTGCAGTATCAGGTCAGTTTAAATATTCTACCTGTGTGGGTAAACGTAACTGCTTCAATACACTAAAATGGAGTTAAGTGAACTTCCAATTTGAGGGTCACTGACTTCAATGTGACTCTGACTGACTCAACTGTTCCAGGAGCGCTTCTGTTTTAGCTGGCCAGCATGAAGTCAAACATGCACAGCAGAGTTTAACCTGGGCAGTTTTTCCATTCTGCACCCGCAGTGGTCTTGTGGTTTATGCACTGGGAACTGCTGTTTGGACCAAACCAGAAGAAAATCTTTAGTCCCAGATGAAGTCAGGCTTTTCCAGCAACAGCTTTATCTGTGCTGACAGTTTTTGTGCTAGATCTGCTGCCGGAGAACTTAAAAATGAATATATGGAGCTACCACACCAGCACGGCTGCTCTGGTGTGGCTACAGCTGTTCTATACCAGCGTATCTACTGTACGGAGCTCAACAGACTGCCTTAGTGGGGATTTTCGACGATTTCCAGAGACAGCTTTACTGACAAGAACTTTCGCATATCGGTAGGACAAAAACATACCTCTTTGAAAAGAAAAGGGAGACATATCCGAGGTGGTAATGGAAAACCTAAATCAAATATATGGCATTAATTAAAGTTAACATTCCAAAAAGTATTAAGTATAATTGCTTTGAAATCACAGAATACATACTTTGTGATTTGAAATTTTTTTCTCTGCAGACTGGATCGTGACACTTTTGATACCAGACTTCCTTCTTTAGATCTACCAGAATCCTAAGAATGAAATAATTTAGTTTTTCATAACAGTACATAAATGAAGTAAATGCATACAGTAGGAAACTGACACTATATGAACAGGTGTTGTTTGTCCCCATCTATGGGTATTGCTTTCATACTCTCACATACTTATATTACATACTTTTACATGTTTTGTACAGTGTTATTTTTTTCAATAAACTTCAGGCTGCTTAAGTTAAAAATATATTTCTTTTAAGATTAACATTCGAAAGTGAAATTTAGTCAACTTCATTACACTAAGCTTGGAAGAAAAAGTCATTAAAGTAAGATTAGTATATGGGACCTAACTGTAGGATAAGATTTTGTTGCTGCTGCTGTTACAGATGATTTCATTATAAAAGCCAGACAAAATCACTAGTTCCTGTCAACTGATTAGACAACCCAGCTTTTTCAGCTGTGCTTTAGAAACACCAAGTTCATCTAGCATAGCGGCTGTGGTGTTTTTTTTTTAATACCTGTATTTCTCAAAAACACATTCCTTATCTTTCAGTTATTTAAAATGTTATGTAGAATTATTTTTAAGTTAAAATACTTCTACTAATGATATACTGCAATTCTAGCATCATCTAAAAAAATGTGACTTTTTAACACTTATTTTGCTAAAACTGTAAGAAGTTCAAGTCCTTGTAGAGTCACTAGCAAAACTCACCTTGACTGAAGTAGTGGCAGGAATTACCTTTGTCATTTTATTATGTTATTAACATAAGAACGTAATTTAAGAAGCACTGTAAATGAATTTAAAAGTGGTTCGTTTTCTTTTTTATTTCTGATTGTTCAGCTTCCTAGCTAAGAAGCATCAAAGCATAGCTTAACATACTCTGAGTTCTATGTTAGCATCTTTAGGCATATATTTTAAATAGCATGAAGATTACTTCATAGAGATATTAGAAATACAATTTCAGTTATCAAAAAGTAAATTGGGGGGAGGGAGGTGTTTTTTTTTTAAAAAAAAGCATTGTATCCCCACAGAATCCTATGGATTCTATCCATAGGAGTTTTTCAGCATTTTTGTAGAATAACAGTTGAACAGGAAAATAAATAAAGCTGTTTTAAAGTATATAGTGAATAGTTAAAGAACATACATTATGTTGTTGCTCTTATGAGCTCTTCCAATATTTTCACACCAACGGTAACCAAAAATATCATATACAAGTATTTCTTCCAGAGAGAAATAATTCCATCGTCGTATCCCTGGGGGGGGGGAAATAATTAATTAATTCTTCAAAAATACTGCTGCAGAATACTCATTTGTAAATAGTAAAGTGGTCTTTACCTCCTTGCACACTGTCTTTATTAACCAAAGAACGAACAAAATAATCAATTTCTGGATATGGTGAATCCTGATAACCTTCCATGGAATCTGTTAAGAACAAAGACCACAGATACATACCATTACTGGTTTTGTCATAGTATGTAATTCTTACATTATATACAGACCACAGACAGAAAATGTACATGAATCACACCAAATCATTAAATCAAACTAGGGATAAATCCAGTGTTCATTTCCTGTAGATCTTTAAACTGCCACCACCCCCCCACCCCCCCCCCAGGTCCAAATGGTCCCGGGGCAAAA